ATATGAAAAGCATTGTCTGACGTCTGACATATGACAACATACTACTTGCCGATCAAAAAAGCAAAGAGAGTTTGGGAATCAAATCAATTTAATTTATCATCATAATCGTACGGCGTTTATTTCTTTGGAAAAATTGCACATCTAGCTTTTTGACAAAATATTTACAAATTAATAAAAAAAAATTATGACCTTGTTTGGTTTATTTTTGAGAAATAAAATCTTGGAAATTTTTTTTTAGAATTTTGTTTAGTTTAGTAGTTTTGGAAAAAAAAAAATTTTAAAATCAATTTTTTTCTCCTATACATCAATTAATCACTTTTTTTATCTCATCTCTCATTTTCAATCACTTTTTCTCTCACACATATCTACTCAACTATAACAAAATATTATTCCAAACTATTTCAAAATATATAACCAAACAAATTAAAAAAATTCTATACTCTTTTTCCAAATATTTTTTTAGAAATTTATCTTCCAAAATCAAACCAGACATATATTTAAAGGGAATAATCTACTAGTGGTTAGTGGATGATAATGATAATGCTTCTTTGTCTACCCAGGCTGAATCAAAGAAGAAGCTTTAGCTAATACTAGTCTTTTCTTTTGGGTTTCAAACAGATTTTTTTGTAGAGCTCAATTTATTTTCTTGTAAAATAAGCCCAATATGGAAAGTTCAGCTGAGAAAAGTAAGGGAAAAGATAGGTTCAAATCTTTCGCTGGAAATGGTGATGGAACCGGATGAATGGTTTCAGCAAATGGTGATGGAACAAAAAATGAGAATCGATCTGCTTAAGCGATCCGGTTCCCTTTCGAATCTTTCGCTGGAAATGGTTTTAGCAAATTTTACCAATTGGGCATCCGACTGCAGAGACAGTACCACAAGTTCAAGCAGATCGAGCTCTACTGTGAGAAAGTATAATAGTTTAATTTATTAAAAGGGATATTTATATTCACCCCAAAAAAAAATAGATATTTATTCATAAATTTTTTTTCACCTATTTATATTTCACTTTAGTCTAAACTATTTACTTATGTTTCTATAAATTTCATGAGTGACATAGTTATTAAAATATCCCTAATAATAATAGGGTGAAGCGTATATTAATATTCACATTTATAGTGTGAATATTGCATGATGTGAACATTTACACTGTTAACGTGAACATTCATACTGTCAAATTTATTTAATATAAATGCTCTAATCACCAAATTACTGGGTTTGAAAAATATTTATAATGATAAAATTATCCATCAAATATCTTAAATATTATAGTAATTGAGATTTAGGCCAAGTTTGGGATGTTCCAAAAAAGTCAAAAAGTCAAAAAGTTACTCAAAAAGTTAAAAAGTTAACACTATTCACTAAAAGTCAACAATTACGGCTGCACAACTCCCAATTCAAATTTTTTCCTACAAATCAATTTTTATAATTTTTTATTACACATTTTCCAATAAAAAGTCAAAAAGTTAACCCAAACATCTATATTTTCAACCTCAATTTTTTAGTCCAAAAAGACAAAAAGTGCACTTATTTAGTCTTCCCAAACTTGGCCTAAGATCAAATATCCAAAATAATAAGATTTATTAAAATATAAAAATATTTTATGACTAAATTAAAATACAAACACTTAAAAGAGAACTTTCTAATAAATTTTACTAATTATGATGTATAAACTTTTTCACTAATTTATAAAAAAAAAAATTTGACTGTCCAATTATACTGTCATTTCCTTTAATATGGGGTTTTTTGGAAAGCACTAAAAAAAGCTAGCTTTTAATTTTTTACCTATTTTGAATCACATCATTTCTATATTTTCTATTCACAAAAGACAAAATAAACTAAAAAAGTTAAAAAATTAATTTTTTACCAACTTTTCAAGGCACTCCTATCTCACAACATATTCATTTGACAATTTCCAAGATGCATAGTTCGGATTTTGATTACTTAGACCATCTCTAACGGTTTATCAAAGTTGACATCAAATTCAAATTTTGATGAAAAAGTTACTGTTTGGTGCTCCAACGGTTGCACCAAATCGATATCAAATTGAGATTTCATCAAATAATTCATCAAACTGAGGACAAGATACTGATTTCACCAAAACACTGTTTGTGACTGTTGGAGGGAGGACCCAGTCGACCAACCGGTTGCCCGGCCGGTTGACCAACCGGTCGACCGATTTCCTTTATAATTGATGGGTTCAAACCGATCAAAAAAAGTTCAAACAGGTAAAAAAAATTTATTTTGCCTTACCGGTTAATTGGCCGGTCGACCAACCGGTCGACCCCAAACATCTTAAATGAGAATGAAAGCTGCAAATATGATTAGTCTGTTATCAAATTAAAGAAACAATTGTTTAATCATAGATTCATCTGATTGCTAAGATATGCACAATATATCTTTACTGAAACCACCAAACATCTTTATAGAAATAATTGATGAATCTATTGATGAATCTATGAAAGCTGCAATTGTTTACATCATGAAAAATATTTACGCTTACCGGTCGACCAACCGGTCGACCCACGGGATTTGATACAGGATTTGATGCACCGTGGGAGCGAGTGGTATCAGATACCCAGTCGACCAACCGATTGCCCGGCCGGTTGACCAACCGGTCGACCGATTTCCTTTACAATTGATGGGTTCAAACCGGTCAAAAAAAGTTCAAACAGGTAAAAAAAAATTATTTTGCCTTACCGGTTAATTGGCCGGTCGACCAACCGGTCGACCCAAACATCTTAAATGAGAATGAAAGCTGCAAATATGATTAGTCTGTTATCAAATTAAAGAAACAATTGTTTAATCATAGATTCATCTGATTGCTGAGATATGCACAATATATCTTTACTGAAACCACCAAACATCTTTATAGAAATAATTGATGAATCTATTGATGAATCTATGAAAGCTGCAATTGTTTACATCATGAAAAATATTTACGCTTACCGGTCGACCAACCGGTCGACCCACGGGATTTGATACGGGATTTGATGCACCGTGGGAGCGAGTGGTATCAGATTTGGTGAAATGGGTCATTTTTTACTCAGATTTGATGAAAAAAGAAATTCACCGTTGGAGATGCTCTTAGACCATCTCCAACGGTTTAGCAAACCTGGCATTAAATTTGAAATTTGGTGAAAAATGCACTTTTTGGAGCTCCAACGGTTTTACCAAATTAGTATTAAAATGACAATTGAACAAAAAAATCATCAAACTGAGAACAGAATACAGGTTTCACCAAATTACTATGCGTGACCGTTGGAGGAGTCCAGCCGTTGACCAACCGGTCAACCGGTTTCTTTTCAAAGAGGTAGGTTCAAACAGGTTAAAAGGTTCAAACAGGTTAAAAAAAAAATTAACCTTACCGGTCGACCGGCCGGTTGACCAACCGGTTGACCCTTCAAATTGAGAGAAAGAGAGACCCAGACAGATACAGAGTAGAGAGTGATTAGAATTCTTAGTGGATGATAATGATAATGCTTCTTTGTCTACCCAGGCTGAATCAAAGAAGAAGCTTTAGCTAATACTAGTATTTTCTTTTGGGTTTCAAACAGATTTTTTTGTAGAGCTCAATTTATTTTCTTGTAAAATAAGCCCAATATGGAAAGTTCAGCTGAGAAAAGTAAGGGAAAAGATAGGTTCAAATCTTTCGCTGGAAATGGTGATGGAACCGGATGAATGGTTTCAGCAAATGGTGATGGAACAAAAAATGAGAATCGATCTGCTTAAGCGATCCGGTTCCCTTTCGAATCTTTCGCTGGAAATGGTTTTAGCAAATTTTACCAATTGGGCATCCGACTGCAGAGACAGTACCACAAGTTCAAGCAGATCGAGCTCTAAAACTTCGACTCACAAACCGGAGGCTAAGGTGTGTTCTTCACCGGCTCGATTGAGTTGGCCTATTCGCAAGGCCCATCTCCCAAAATGCTCGATTTCTGATGTATCCGAAGCTGACCAACCGGTCGACCCTTCCCTCAATTCTGCATATATTTTGTTCGACAGATTTGATACTCACCGTTGGAGGAAACTGTATCAAATTGAGAAAACAACCTATTTTTTACTCAGATTTGATGAAAAAAGAAATGAACGATTGGAGATGCTCTTAGGGACCTGTTGCTCCGTTTGACATGTGCACGTGGGTCACGTACCTATGTAAGATATTTAATAAAATATTTAAATTTTTTAATATTGCTCTTATGATTAATTTAGTTTATTAAAAGATAAAATAAATAAAGAAATTAATAAGATAAAATATCACGTCTAAACTGTCATTATTCTTTTTTTACAAAACTACAAAAAAAAAAAAAAGCCGACTTGTTTTGAAAACATGATTAAAAATAACTTTTTAGCTTTTTAGATTTTTGGATCACATCTCCTCTTTATTTTTTTCGTAATTTAAAAAACCAAAAAAAAAAATCAAAAAATCAACCTTTGTCTTACTTCCTAAAATAAGTTCAAATAGAACTTTTTTTTAATCAAGTTAAAATAGGCAAAAAATCTAAAAATCAAGTTAAAAAAATTCTTCTCAAACGAAAGTTAAGAGCACCTTCGCTTGAATTTTTAAAAATTTATATATCAATTTTTTATAAAAGTTTAAGTGTATATAAATTTAACATTATTAAAAAATAAAATTCATTTGATATGTTAAATTTATTATTTTATTACTTTAATATTTTTTATATTCTCTTATATTTTTTTAATATTAAAATAATAAAAATAAGAACAAATTATACAAATAATCCCTGCAGTTTACACTATGTGTCATTTTAGTCTCTATAATTTTAATTTACTCAATTTTAACCATAAATTTTAAACTTTGTGTCACTTAAGTTCAATAGAGAACTTATGTTATGCATTTGGATAGAAAAGGCACATGTGGACAACATGTGCAGAGTTTTTAAGGGCAAAGTTACTCTCAATTTACTTAATGATTTATCCAGCTAACTCAGAGTGAGTTAACTCAATGATATATATACATCTATACATAGAAGAGAGAGAGGAGGGAGGGGGTGGCGTCGATGACCTATGAGAGAGGAAAAAAGATGGTGTTAGGGATGGGGAAGGCAGAGGCAGGGGCATGGAAAAAAATGAGTCACCAACACCTGCGAAGTCTGTGAGCGCAGCCTCCTTGATTCCTTCCGCTTCTGCTCTCCCGGTTGCAAGGTACTAACAATGTCCTCTCAAATCTATTCAAATGTCCTTCAAAATCCATTAAATCTATGTCTTTTTCTACAATTTTGACTAAAATTTGAAGAAAATTGAAACGGGTATTGCCCAAAAATTGCTCACCCTTATGGCTTCCATTGAAATTTGTAAACTTTAATATGAAAATTCGGTACTTTCTAGGGGATTTTTGCATCTTAACTAGGTTTTCTGGTTGATTATGATTGTTTGATTTGCAGTGATCACTGATTTTAGATTGGTATTTTGAGGAATTAAATTTTGGGTATTTTGAGTCAATTCTTATCGATCTTTTACAATTACTATTGAATACAGATTGTTGGCACATCGAAGAATTTCGAGAGGAAAAGAAAGTACTCGCTGGAGAAGAAGCTCTGGGCAGCGGCGTCGGACTCGAAGAATTAAAAAAGAAAAAATCCTCTGTTTTGTTGGTGGTCTATCACTTTGTTGTTGTTAGATGAAGGAGGTTAGATGGAGGTGATGGATGTGGCGGGTATGTGCGAAAGACAGGGTGGTGAGTTTGATAGTCTGGGTGCCAGACTATACTGGGTTTGGTATGGTAGAAGCGGATGGTGCTGATGTTGGGATTGGGTATGGATGATTTTGGTGGTGGAGGTGGCAATGGTGTGTTGCAAAGAGTCCTAGAGGAAGAAGATGGTGAAATAAGGAATGGTAGTGAAATGCCTATATTGCCCTTGAAACAGGGTCATGTGTGCCTCACGTGTTTGTTTTCCTTCAACAATTTTAACCAGTGTTAATAATTGGACTAAAATTGTACAAAATCAAAAATTGAGGGTCAAAATCGAGCAAATTAAAATTATAGGGATCAAAGTGACACAATTGGTAAAGTACATGGACTGTTAGTATAATTTGTCTTAAAAATAATAAATTTTAACATATTCTTTTTGATACGTCAAATGAGTAATACTATGAATCCACTCTTATTAATTCAAACCCCTTATCACACAAATTTAATTTCTATCACACAAACCCCATCAAAAAAAATTCTGGATGGTTAACTATGAATTTCAAAAGTTTTCCATGTCAAATTTGATATTGCTCAAGACATGTCAATTATTAACTCATTTTTGCAAATTTGGTTAGAGCATAATTGCATGTCAAATTTTATTGTTAATAGTGTCACCTCAAATATCACAATTTGCATGAAAATACTTAAATTAGGCTCTCCAAATACCGCATCCTCCTATTTATATAAATATATATAAATATTATGTTAATCATTTATTTTTACTCTTTGAATTTATAGTTTTATTAACAGGTGTGTTGAAGGCACTAGTTAAGATTGCATTAAATGAATCCAACTACTTCTATAAATACAAAAAGGGATGCGTTTATACCTCAATATGAGAGAATTTGAGAATTCTGCAAAGTCCATCATAGGCTCATTTTGATGATTATAATTGTTCATTTTGTAAGGCCCTTAATGAATATCATTCATGAAAAAAATTAGGTTGATCCGATAATCGTAATATTTTTATTTTATAATATTTATCTCTAAAAAAATGAATTGTTTATTTTCAAAAATATATTTATTGCCCATTTTTTTTAAAGACAAATGTGAGAAAATGAAAATATTATTATTATCGAATCAAAATAATTTTATTTTTATTTTTATGAATGATATACATTGAGAGTCCTACAAAATAATTGACTCGTTGAAACAATTATTTTAACTTCTTAAATGATATTTTTAGCATGAGTATGTTTGGTAACCTTCCTAATTTTTTAACTTTTTTATACAAATGACCAATTTACCTACGATAATAATGGATTATAATGTATAAAGTAAGAAAATATGAATGTGGCTAAAATGGTTAGAGTGGATATTTTGACTTTCTCGCTAAAATGGTTAAAGTTGATATTTTAACTTTTTAACTAGGTGAGTTATACTAACAGTCTTTATAGTTTGGGGCTTGTGTCATTTTGGTTCATGACTTTTCAATTGTGACACATTTGACAATGAATTTTGAATCTTGTTCCAAATAAGGACAATTGAATATACTATTGGATTTTTCAAGGACAAAATTGTCAATTTGATAAAATATAAATTAATTTGACAAAAATAAATGTTAAAAAATTATTTATGAATTTTTAAAAATTGTTTCTACCTACTAAAGATAAAATTATATAAAATTGATAAATCTTTAGAAATTTATTTATTTTTTTACCAAATTAATTTTTATTATGTATTTGGATGATGATCATATAAAATTAATTTTTAAAAATTAATCATGTAATTTTTATTAATTTTTATCAATTTTACATAATTTTATTTTTGGTGGCTAGAAATAATTTTTTAAAATTTTAAAATATTTTTTTGACATTTATTTTTGTCAAATTAGTTTATATTTTATCAAACTGACAATTTTACCCTTGAAATTAAGCAACGGTATGTTAATTGTCCTTATTTGGAGCAAGATTCAAAATTCGAGATCAAATGTGTCACAATTAAAAAGTTAAAGATTAAAGTAACACAAATCCTAAACTATAGAGACTATTAGTATAATTTACCCTTCTAACTATTTTAACCACTCCTCACACGGAGCCTAAATGGAAAGGTTTGAGTTGAGATATTTTAAATGTATAACCCATTCCAAACTAACATATTTGCCACCTCCACTACAATATGTATCAAGCCACATTGATGTGCACCAATGTGATTATGATATCCTTTTTGGCTATCTTTAAAACATTTTGGTTGTTTTGAGTTTTTTAAATTTAAATTTTTTCATTTTAATGAATTTTTTTAAATATTTTAATAATTTCTTTTACATTTTATTTATTAATTTTTATCAATTTTACATAATTTTATTTTTGGTGGCTAGAAATAATTTTTTAAAATTTTAAAATATTTTTTTGACATTTATTTTTGTCAAATTAGTTTATATTTTATCAAATTGACAATTTTACCCTTGAAATTAAGGAATGGTATGTTAATTGCCTTTATTTGGAATAAGATTCAAAATTCAAGATCAAATGTGTCATAATTAAGAAGTCAAATACTAGAGTGACACAAATCCTAAACTATAGAGACTATTAGTATAATTCATTTTTTTTAACTATTTTAACCACTTATCGTACGGAGCCTAAATGGAAAGGTTTGAGTTGAGATATTTTAAATGTATAACTCATTTTGTCTCGTCCAAACTAGCATATTTGCTACCTCCACTACAATATGTATCAAGCCACATTGATGTGCGCCAATGTGATTATGATATCCTTTTTTGGCCATCTTTAAAACATTTTTGTTTGTTTTGAGTTTTTCAAATTTAAATTTTTTTAAATTTTTTCATTTTTTTATTTTAATGAATTTTTTAAAATATTTTAATAATTTCTTTTACATTTTAGACGCACCTAAAAAATAAAATATTTGTAAACAAATATTAAAAAATCAAAAATATAAAATATATATATATATATATATATATATATATGAAAATGCTCCTTTTTTTTGCATTTATTGATTTGTTTATAAAAGAATTCACAAATATTTTATTTTTTAAATGTATTTAGATTAAATGAATTTAAAAAGTAAAAACAAGCTTGCCTAATTTTTTTTTTTTTTAAAATTACTGAAAATAAAAAAACCCAAAATTTATTTTTGAAAAAATCAAAATCAAATAGACGGTATTTTTACTAAATAAATCAAAAAAACAATTTGTTTCCCACTAAAAATGATAAAAATAAAATTTTGTAAAACTAAAAACTAAGGAACCATTTAATTTTTTCACTAACAAAAAAAATAATAATTTTTTTTAGCTTTTAATAAACACTAGCTTTTTTAAATTATTATTTTGAAAAAAGTATATAAGTTCATGAATGCAATTAATTAAGCATCCCAATAAAACGCCCATCTACTCATATGCTTTTCTTGAAAGTGAAATTGTCGGGTACCCAAATGTAAACCAATAAAAGAGTCACTTTCTCGTTGATGGTTTTCTTTGAAAGCAGTTTTTCTTAATTTTAAAATTTTAAAACGTCCTAATCAACAGCTTGCTAAAATAACTCAGTTTTCTCTACAGCCAAACATAGGAGTCTTAATCAACAAAAGCCCAATACAAAACCATAAAAGAAATGCCATTTGACACCCCCCACCCCCACACACACACATTAAATTATTTTAGCTTCAAAATCATCTCAAAGTTATTGGATGATCACTGAATCCTACTGCATCTCTCAAGTTGTTAGTATGAGTCATTAGTAATTAAAGTTCACTACATTAGAAGGTCAGAATTTCTTCACCTTCCTATTAGTGGTTTGAATCTTCTTACTTATGTATGAATTTTATTCCTCTTGTATTTATTGAGATTTTCTCTCCCACTTTAATAATTTCTTATGTTGTACTTGATCTTCGTCATTATAATTGAGTTTTATTGTAATTTTTTATATGAATTAAATTAAACTTAAAAAAAAAAAAAGTTGATTGCACCCCATTTTGTATTGTTTATTTGTAATCACTGAGATGTGCCTGGATGAAGATAATTCGGGTTATGTCAAATCTATAACGGAATACAAATGTTCAGACCTAAAATTTAACTAACCATTTTCTAATTTGGGTTATGGGCAAATCAAAAACTTAATACAAACTTTTAGACCTAGAATTGAACAAACCATCTTCTAGAAATGTGTTGTCTCTATTCCATTTAGTGGATTAGACGAGGTTGTTCGGATTTGTGGGATTCACTATAGGTCTCATTTCGATTATCTAAGTTATTCATTTTTTTAACTCACTTTGTGTAGATCATTTACACAAAAAATCATGTTAATCCGATATATGTAACTACAAAATTTTATCACTTTTGTCTCTGAAAAAATGAATGATAAGAATGATTTTGAAAATAGACCATATATTTTATTGAAGACAAATGTGATAAAGTTTTATGTAGTTACGGATATTAGATAGACTTAATTTTTTTGTGAATAATTTACACGAAGTAATCTAAAACATGAATTACTCGAATGATCAAGACAGAACTCGTAGTAAGTCCCATGAGTTCAAAAAGCGCCTTCCAATCCAATTAATGGATTAAAGACATTCCATTCTCAACAAGTTAATATATTATAACAAGTTTTCTGACACTTATTAGCATTAACTGATTATTATTGCAATGAAAAATTATTGGGAAAGTGGTATTAGTAAAAAAATAATTATAAATTAGCGATAAAATTTATAAATATTAATAATTAAAATTTTAAAATTTTCATGAATGGGTAATTATTTTCTCAAACCATCACTGGTTTGTAATTTTTTAAAAATTATTTAGTATTTGAAAACGCTAATATAAAAAGTAAGAGAAATTTCATATCAGTGTAAAACTTAAAAAATAATTACAAATAAATGGTAAATTTTATAAATATTAAAAATTAAACTCAAACTTTTTCATAAATTCTAATTGGTAATTTCTCCTAAAAAGTAACAGGTTTTATAATTTAGACCAATAACTATATTAGGTTAGAGAATTATTTAAATTTACTTAAAAAAAACATGTATTTTTATGAGTTTATTGGTGATAAATCTATTTCTATAGGGACATATGACATTAGGTCCAATAGTTAATCTTTTATGGAGGTAATGACATGATTAAGAAATTGTATAGTAAGAGATCAAATTATTGATTTGAAGATTTTTACTTTGATTTTTACTCCATTGCCGCTAATTCACCACTAGATTACCGTCCGC